CCTTTCAAATCGACCATCCGTAGTGTATTAGCATATGCTAAAACAGACCACTTTTAGGATCCCCTTAAATTTGAAATTCTTCAGAAGTATACCCATCTCCAGCTTGCGCTTGCTGCATTCCGCATACAAGCTGATGACTTCTTCGTTTCGTTCACAGCTACGAGGGTGCGAATTGCGAGGTGGACATCGACGAGTGCCAGGCGAATCCGTGCCTGAACAACGGCGTGTGCTACGATTATTACGGCGCGTACATCTGCCACTGTCCGACGGGCTTCGAGGGCCAGAATTGCGAGCTGAATCTGAACGAGTGTCTGTCGAGTCCCTGCGCGAACGGCGGCGAGTGCATCGACGACGTCGGCTCGTATCGCTGCGATTGTCCGTCGGGCTTCACCGGTCGCCACTGCGAGCTGCGGAGCCTCTGCGAGAAGGCGGCCTGCCCGCCCAACAGTATCTGCATGGAGGACGCTCACGGACCCCAGTGCGTCTGCAAGCCCGGCTTCATGGGCAATCCGCCCAACTGCACCGTCAACTACTGCGCCAGCAACCCCTGCGCCAACGGCGGCACCTGCGCCAGCGGCCGGGATGGCTTCAACTGCACCTGCCCGCCCGAATGGAGAGGTAAGAACATTCGCTTGGGCTTCACGTAACTGGTTTTTACTCCAACGACACTTTTGTCTGGATGAAAAGTAATTTCGTAAACTTATATTATTGTTATTAATTATATAAATTACACAGAGCTGTTTACTTAATAATTTTTATAAGCTTACATTCTTTTGGAAGACATTAAGTGATTGCCGAGATTATCGAAATTAAATTCGTCATCCAGCTGGAAGTGTCGCGACGCGAGCATTTGTATCGCATGCATTTGTGTAAACTAGTGACCGCAATCTAATGAACTGGGAATAGCACGTTTCGATCAATATTAATACTTAGATCAGAATTCAGATTTCAGTCAGAATCAATATCTTCGCAGCGCAACTCTCTAATTAACATGAATCTGTCAACTGGACTTTCACGCCACTGTTAATCAGAATTAATATTTCTCTTCATCAATCATAATTCTCGGACAGCCAAGTCCGTCTGAATTTCATCCGGATCGAAATCTGGACTCAGCTATATCCCAGTTTTCACCTCTCCGTTCAACTGTCTGGGCTTTGTGCGCAATTGTACGCGGCTTTGTTATTGTACTGTGCATGAATTGCGACTAACGACTGCATCCTCTCGAGGTCTTCCGTCACTAATTTCATCAATACCTAATGTTCCGCCGTGTTCCCGTCCTCTGTCTCTATTTGTCGTTTGTGTCTCTTTTGTGCGCCCGTATCCGTGTGTCGTCCACATCAGGGGCCACGTGTTCGTCTCCGGCCTCGGACTGGTGTAGCGTGTGTTACAATGGCGGCACCTGCTCGGAGACCATCTACGGCGCGTGTCAGTGCACTAGATTCTGGACCGGGCCGCACTGCGAGGTGCCGGTCACCTGCGAAAATCTCCCCTGCAAGCAGGAGTCCGTGTGTCACGATTATGTGAGTGTGATGAACCCGCATGCGTGTCAGTCCGATTAATCCGCTTTTGAAACCATAAAATGGTAGAACGGCGGGGAAAATTTACGAAGAATCTGAAATCAATCCTGGATCTTGAACAGTTTTGATTATCGTTTTTGATTAATTGCAAGACAATCACTGTTTATGTTGCGATGAAAAAAATTTGGAAATTGAAAGTGGATTTTAATACATCTAATACATTCCCCGAGTCGAAATTTTTAGCCTAGATTAAACCTACAAGTTTTGTCGAATTTGGAGAACCAATGTAAGCTTTAATTCATATATATAGATATAACATTACATTGGCTATTGCCCTCCTTTGATACTAAAAATTGTTACTTATTGCCGTTTTTTCCATGTGGAAGCTCAAAAGAGTACCTACTGAGAACCTCTAAAAAGGCTCCAGGTTCTATAAATATGTATTTCTAGAAAATAAATATTCAAAATTACTTAATAATCTATTATCTCATATACTCTACTTGCATTTAATGTATGGATCTTGATTTCAATAAACAATATATTAATTATTATAATTTGCTTAACTGTAAATAGACTACTATAAGCAAATATTATATAAATAATATTCACTTATCTTTTACATATCTATCTGCAGTTAAGTAACTTACATAATTAATGTATTGCGCTATTGAAATTAAGATATGCATTAAATACAAGTAAATGTGGTAATAGAATATTAAATAATTTCGAATTATAGGTCAAATATGTAATAAAATATTAAATAAAATTTTGAATTTTAATTGTTTTTGTTTATTCGAATAAATTTTTAGTTATTTATAATACTAAATATAATACTGAGTTGCACTTAATTTTTAAAATATTTTTACTATTCATTTGTTATTATTTATTTTATATTATAACATTTATTATATTAATCTGAAATAATAGAAATTGAACTCAATTATAGATTAAATATTAATATTTTTATTGCTAGAAATTTCGATAAGATTTGGAGATTCAAAAGAGGTAGGAGTTGTAAGAACGAAAGTAGGAATTGTATATTTAACATCAATAAAAATAAGGGTTTTCTAGGACAACAAGATTAAAGAAAGGCCAAAAGAAGACATAACACTTTCAAGATAGAACTTGTAGGTCAAGGAACATTATTAGAGGCACAAATAACCATGTATGAGGTTTATAGCAGGTTTTAAATTTCGACTCGGGTCTCTATGTCAAGTTGTAGTAAATTATATGCGATAAGTTAACACACACAAATAGAAGAATACGAAATGCAGTGATTCGGGCCGCTGAAGTGTCGCACATTCAAGCGGATTAATCGATTCATAAACCGTACATATCGATATCCGTTGCTTTACTTGTTGCTGGTGTAGTCTGGTGGCTATTATTGCACCTGCGAGCCAGGATGGACGGGACCGGAGTGCTCTATCGACATAGACGAGTGCGTCAGCGATCCCTGCCGTAACGGCGGTATCTGCACCGATCAGCTCAATAACTATTACTGCGAGTGCCTGCCAGGATATACCGGTAATCATTGTAGAATTTTCCTGTCACTTTTCATATCGTTTGTGTTTGTGCGCACCGTGTTTGGGAACCTCTGTACGCTCTGCATTTGTGTATGAAGCATGTTTCCCGATTGTTTCTGGTTTTTTTTTTTTTTTTTTCTAATTCTACAAAAAGTATTTTGTGTGTCAAATTTCTCACATACGATTTTCGTAGTATTGTTTCAATGTTCTGTAGTCTTTGTAATCTTTTTTTTTTATTTTTTTTAAAACAGGTTTTATCGCCAGTAATTTACAATCAGCTTGTTCGAACGTAGCCAACGTTAACTCGAGACTTCTCTTTCTAAAAGCGACGTTTTTTCGCAGGAAAGAACTGTCAAATCAACGTGGACGAATGTCTGTCGCAACCGTGCCAGAACGGCGGTGCCTGCATCGATCGCGTGAATGGATACATCTGCAATTGCACGAGGGACTTTATGGGCGACAATTGCGAGCGGGAATACGACGCGTGTGCTGTCAACCCTTGTAAAAACAACGGCACCTGCACGCCGATGCTGAGATCGAGGCGGGACTTCGTTTGCGAGTGTCCGCACGGCTTCGAGGGCAAGGTACCGCAAAAAAGAAATATGGTCGTGGAAGGAATAATGCAATAATGTGTAAAAACTAAAGGACAGGATGTTTGCGCGAGAAATGTAGAATGCGTCTAATGATTCAAGGTATGCGACGTGAATATCGACGACTGCGTAGGCGCGATGTGCCCGGACGACAAAATCTGCGTCGACGGGATCGCCGGTTACGAGTGCAAGTGCCGCGAGGGTTACAGGGATCCCAATTGCACGCTAATCGTGGACCATTGCACCGGAAACCCGTGCAACAACGGCACGTGCATCGAGCTCGACGAGCGTGGCTTCGAGTGCAAGTGCACGGACGGCTTTCAAGGCGAGTCCCGCTTGAATTCGAAGCGATGCGATCGCAAAATCGGATCGCAAACTTGTACAGCTTCATTAATCGTCGAATCCCACTTGCAGGCCAGTATTGCAGCCTCGACGTGAACGAGTGCGAGGTGTACGGCGTTGCCCAGCTGTGCAAGAACGGCATCTGCATCAACACCGTGGGTAGCTACAATTGCTTCTGCAGGCCGGGCTTCTCCGGCGATCACTGCGACATCGACATCAACGAGTGCCTGTGCGGCCCGTGCAAGAACAACGGCACGTGCATCGACGGCATCAACGCGTTCGAGTGTAAATGCCCGCCCGGCTACACCGGCAGAACCTGCGAGCTCGACGTGAACGAGTGCGACAGCAGCCCGTGTCTGAACGGAGCGCAGTGCGTGAACGACATAGCGTCGTACACGTGCATGTGCCTACCGGGCTTTTCCGGTGCGAATTGTGAGATCGACATCGACGAGTGCGAGTCGATGCCTTGCCTGAACACGGGACGATGCAACGACGGTGTGAACAGTTACGCTTGCGACTGTAGCGACACCGGTTTCGAGGTAGAGTTTCGTCTTTCATCGTAGGTGTCTGCGAAAAGAAATTTTTTATCGTCAAATATCTTTTTCAATCTTACGAAGCGAAAAGATAAATTAAGACAAAAGTCTTTTCTCGAGTGACACAATTTTCCAATAATAAATTAAGCGGCGCTTGATGTGATATCAAGTCTTTCTCTAATTTTAATTATAATTTTCACTTCACTGATTCATTTTTCGGTTTACATTTAATTTTCTTCATTGATTCTTTTTATAATTATGTTTATTTATAATTTATATCTTTCATATTGATTTGGTTTTGAAACTTTAATTCATCTTTTATGACATAATAATTAAGATTCTATAACTTTGGAATTTAAGGGCCTGCATTGCGAGAAGAATATCGACGAGTGCCTGTCGCAGCCGTGCGTGAACGGCGGAATCTGCAAAGACGACATCAAGAACTACAAGTGTCAGTGCTACGTCGGCTACGCCGGTAAGAATTGCGAAATAGACGTGAATGAGTGTGAAAGCTCACCTTGCCAGTACAACGGCACCTGTTTGGAGCGGTCAAACAGGGACCTCTACAAGAGCGAGGCGTTGAATTTACCAGCGATCTTCACTCAGGAGTTTAGTTATGCCAACGCCAGTGGGTGAGTCCTTCAATAAATTCCTTAGCAGATCTTTGATTATCCTCTCCTTCGACAACTCAACGTGCCATTTTCTTACTTTTTAATTTATAATAATTAACCCAGCAAAGCTTGATTTTATAATGTATAACATTTCTCCATTTTTAATTTAAACTTCAACTTATTTTACTATAAAAATTTAATTTGAAATTTTGATAAAACATACACTTAATATTAAATGTAATTGATTTAAAATTTTTGATTCTTAAAATATTCCAAGAATTGAGAGATAATTAAGTGTTTGAAATCTGAACAGGTATGAGTGCCTCTGCGTGCAAGGTGTCACTGGCAAGAACTGCGAGGTGAACATCAACGAATGCGACAGCAACCCTTGCGGTCCGGGCAGTTGCATGGATCGTATCGGCGGCTACACCTGCGAGTGCGACGAGGGCTACGAGGGCGATCATTGCCAGCATGAAATTGACGAATGCAAGAGGTACAACCCCTGCAAGCACGGGGTGTGCACCGACCTTAGGGCCGACTACTTTTGCACCTGCGAGCCGGAATACGGTGGCAAGAATTGCTCGGTGAAGCTGTTGGGCTGTCAGGGCAACGCCTGTTTGAATGGTGGCACTTGCTGGCCTTATTTAGTTGACGAAACCATCCACAGGTTCAACTGCACCTGCCCCAATGGTTACCATGGCGAAGTTTGCGATTATGTGAGTGTTTATGCATTTTTTTCTACAAAAGAAAGACTTGACATTGAGAAATTTTTGATAAATATCAGATCAAAATATTATTATTATTATTGTAAATAAAAAATTATGACCGATATTATATTTCCGAAAATGGAAGTGAAATAGAAAAAAATTAGTTTACAAATTAATAAAATAGATGGCATAAAAATTATCTTATTAAATTATTAAGAGGGAAGAAGGACAGAGATGAAATCGAGACGTAAAGCAAGAATTTTAATAAAATTGAGTTACATAAATATTATGTAACAAAAAGTCAATTAATATTCTAAAATCTATTGAGTATCTTAACGATTAACGAATACTTTTGATTAGATTTGCAATAAAGAATTGACACTTTTTAGATATCAGAAAATGTTTAATTTCGACTAACATAGCTTAGAATAATTAAGAAGCACTATGTTTTACATTTGACACATAGAATTTCATTATAACTCACATACTATCAAATTTTTAAATTTGCTAACAATCTTTACTTAACTACGCAAAGCTCTTCTATTCCGATGTTAACAAAGTTTTTAGAAAATCTTGTCTTTAAATACATAAATTCACCACTTACACTTATACTTTATCGCACCCACTCTTTTCGAAGCGCTTCGTACAGAAAAAGGTGCGTAAACGTGTTTAGAAGAAAGATCTCGCGTGCCACATATCTAACTCTGTCGGTAAACAAATTTGCAGGTGACGACAATGTCTCTGAGCGGCAAATCGTACGCTCTGGTGAACACTACGCGCGACGAGGGCTACGACATTCAGTTTCGCTTCAGAACTACTTTGCCAAACGGTCTCCTGGCGATCGGCAAGGGCGTGACCATTTATATTCTTCAGCTGGTCAACGGCAAACTCAACATACACTCGAGCATACTCAACAAATGGGACGGAGTTTTCGTCGGTAGCGGACTCAACGATTCCACGTGGCAAAAGGCTTTTGTGGCGATCAACGCAACTCATCTTGTTCTCTCAGCCAACGAAGAGCAGACTATCTATCCTATCAGTCCCAACGAAGGCTCCAATTCGTCGAATCATACGTCTTTTCCTACGACTTACGTGGGCGGCAGCTATAGCAGCTCTTTAAACTTCCTGAAAAGGTTATCTCGTTTACCCACTTTCACCTTCTTCATTGGCTGCATGGAAGATGTCATTATTAACGGCGAATGGGTATGTTGGCCTGCTTTTAATTTCGATTTATTTATTAATGATATTTATTTAGAAATACATTAATTAACCACGTAACTTGTGTAGTTGTTAACATAATTTTATTTTCTTCCGAGTGAAAGTTTGTGAAAAATAGTATTTAATTTTGTAGATATTAAAATCTTTATTTATAAATTATCAAATAGAATGTGTTGACAATTTTTAAGAAATTCTCCGAAATGACTTGTCTATAACAATTTTTTATATCTCGAAACGGATTTTAGGTTTATTCTGGCACTACGTCGAAGACCGTATATATGGAGGACGTAGAATCAGGCTGTCCCCGCGAGGCTCAATGCTCACCAAATCCCTGCGAGAACGGCGGTCACTGCACCGACAATTGGCGCGAATTCAAATGCAAGTGCGAGCGTCCTTATCTCGGTCGCACTTGTCAGTACAACATGACCGCTGCCACCTTCGGCTACGAGAACATCACGAACGGCTATGTGACTGTGAAGGTTAGCGACACGGCTAAACGGACTGTCAGTTCAGTCGTTGATATCTCCATGTTCATCCGCACGCGGGAGAGCCACGGTGACATATTTTACCTGGGCACGGATCCGCAGGACGATCTGAAGCCTCAGGACAGGACTTACATAGGAGCGCAGCTGAAGGACGGAAACTTGCGCGTGAGTTTCCAGTTTGGCAACGTCACGGACGGCTACACGGTCGACGGCGCAAAGCTCAACGACGGAAACAGCCATCTCATTCAAGTGACAAGAAACGTTACTCTCCTCGAAGTGAAGATCAACGGCACCGAGCACTTTCGCAAGACGATCAGCGCCACGGGAGACTTGAACGTAACCGTTCTCTACCTGGGCGGACTACCGCAAGTGTCTAGATACATTCGCCAGGCTGTCGATAGCAGGCAGTTGGAGAAGGAACAGGCGCCGCAAATTAACTTCAAAGGCATCATCCAGGATGTGAAGATATCGAACGGCACGACAGTAATGGTCGTGGAGTTTTTTCCGCTGAAGGTGACTGAGAAAATATCTTAATTTTTAATGTTATCTTTATCAAAACATATATCAAGTAAGAATTTATTTGATTTCTATTTAGACTTTTAAAGGGAAATTTTTTTCAAAGTTTTTTACTGTTAAATTTTACAACGCTTGAAACAATTCTATCTGTTGAAAATGTTTCTCGAACATTGATTTTTGTAATTCTTGAATCCTTCTTCTATTTTTTTTAATACTTCGGAATATAACAGTCCTCTTTTATCTTGATCAACTTTTATCTTGATCAACATTTTTTCCATAAGGATTAATTTTATTCATAAAATCTTTCTTTTGAATAAAAATGCAAAAATTGTCAATAATTATTGCTTCAGCCTTTTCATCAACATGCTTCATCAACGTACTTTTATTCAAGACATTTTTATCTTTTGTATTTTTCTAGACGTCGGACATTCCCATGCTCATTCAGTTCGGCAACGTCTCCTTTGACCACGAGAAGATTCTTGAGGGCGTCGTGTCGGATGACGTGTGCGTAAGTAGCCCGTGCAACCACAACGGCACGTGTCACGTAACGTGGAACGACTTCTGGTGTCAATGTCCGCGCGGCTACACCGGCAAGACTTGTCAGGAAATGGAGTTCTGCCAGCTGCAGGACTGCCCGGCAGGCTCGCGCTGCCAGAACCTCGACGACGGTTACGAGTGCATCGCCAACGCGACTTTCGACGGTATTTCCACCGTTTTCACCTACGTGTACGGTCACACCGAGGACGTCATGAGCATCAGCAACTCGACTCTCGACGTTATCGAGATCACGTACAGATCCAACACCGGCGGTACGCTGCTTCACATGGTGTCGCACGTGGGCGATCAACATTTCACTGTGTCCGTCTTCAAGGACAATATCACCGTTTCCTGGCGGCTCGACTTGGAAAACCAGGGCACTGTATCCTTTGGCAAAGCCCAGGCCGACGGCAATTGGACGTCGCTACTCATCAAGCTGAACAACAACTCTCTGGAGTGCGGCTACGTGAATCCGGTCGAAGAGCAGCCTCGCTCGAGCGCCAACTTCAACTACCAACTGTGGCACGATCTCCTGGTAACAGGAATAGTCACTCTCGGTGGACTTTCCAGTGCTTTGTCCGACAAGCACACTTACGTCACTGTCGGGTCGAAACACGATAGGAGAGACGGAATCGAGGGGAACAGCGTGGATTACGGTGAACATAGACTGACAACCGCCATCCCACCGCATAGTATGATATCCGGTGAGTAACATATTGGGACACACGGTTTTTAGATATTCCATAATGCGATGCTACTATTTTAATAGAATATTATGATGTTTGAATCAATACTTTGAACTGTGGTTGGAATTGAAATATGAAGGAAAGTCGAAAAACATTTTAATTGCTTGGAAATCAAAAGTTTTTTTATTGTTTGGCTTTTAGTAGTTTTGCAATACATAAAATTTTCACTCCTGAGACTCTTAAGTCTCAAAAATTTCGTCTTTAAATTTTAACTTCTTTTTACTTTTTATGTTCAATCTTCTTCATTGTAAAATCTTTTTTTTATTTAAGCGCTTTTTGCTTACTAAAGAATTATTATAACTTTTATATCTTTTCTCAGGTGAACCATTCAAAGGCTGTCTAGGCGAGGTGCGCATCGGTAGCATACTGCTACATTACTTTACGAATGAAGAAGTGTATCAAAATGCGAACTTTACGCCGTTGGAGTTTCTGACGTTGCAGAGCAACGACAATGCCACTCACCTCGACAGTATCGGCTGTCTGTTGTGTTTCGATACGGACTGCAAAAACGATGGCTACTGCTTTGATAAAGCAAACAGCTACATATGCGAATGCCCAGCCGGCTATGCCGAAGATGACTGCTCCTTTAACATCGACGAGTGCATCGACAACAAGTGTCGAAACGGAGCGACATGCGTCGACGGTATCGCGAATTACACCTGCATCTGCGACAGCGGCTGGCAGGGATGGCTGTTCGTATTTTCTTACCTTGAAATTATTTCACGTTTTATGAAAGAATAATATTTTTTGTGATGACAATGAGATTGTGATATTTTACTATTATTTTACAAAAAAAATGTTAACACACACTGATGTTACAGCAATAAGTTTAAAATTTATTAGTATTTACGTTAATTAGTATAATCGTTCCATTATCTTTTCAAGAATTTTTGAACTCGACAACCATGATTTTGTTTCAAACTCGATTATTAAAATCGAGAGAGAAACATTTTTAAAAAGTGTTACATTATAAAATCAGAATTGTTTTGTACAAAAACTTCTAATTGCAAGAATGACAAATTTCAGGAAAAAATTATGCTGTAAATAATCTTACTTTTTAAATATTCGATTTGTCATAAATTAATTACTGACGTGAACCAAATTTTATAGAGCTACAGTAAAGTTTTTTAAATATCCAATCGACTTATTATGTTAAAAAATTTATTTTAGACATTGCAATCATAATGTTGAATATATACCATAAACACGCAAGATTAAAACTACATTCTCTAACGATCACGAAGTGATTGCGACACTTTCTTATCAACTCTTATCATTTGTTGTAGATGTGACAACGATATCAACGAGTGCGTAACGCTGAATCCCTGCAAACACGACGGCGTGTGCGTGAATGTGCCGGGCTCATTTCGCTGCGAGTGCCCGGACCAGTTTACTGGTGATTTGTGCGAAAAATTCCGACTGATCACATGTGAGAACAACCCATGCATGCGCGGCGCGACCTGCCTCGACTCGCCGAACCCGAAGACAGGCGATAACTTCACCTGCAACTGCCGACCCGGTTACGACGATCCAGTTTGTAACTCGCCTTATTGTACTCTACCTGGTCAGAGATGCCAGAACGGAAGATGCGAGTTTTTAGAAACGAATTATGAATATGTAATAAAACTATAATTTCGAAGACTCTAGGATTTAAAATTGCTGAAGTTTAAATCGCTGCTGCTTTTTCTTACTATTGCATAATTTTATTTTTTTCTAAATTTGAGAAAGTTTAGTTTAATATGATGAAATATTATACATGTTGTTAAGTTTAAATCTCAAGCTTAGGGAATCGGTTGATTTTGAGATTGTCATTTTAGATTCTGGAGTCTAAATACTTTCTTAAATTTAATTATTAACAAAAGTTTTATATATTATGGAATTATTATCACGTAGCAACCGAGATGCACTTGCGCTCCTGGTTACACCGGTCTGTACTGCGAGACGGACATTGATGAATGCGCGCCGGATCTCAAGGGCGAAGTACCTTGCAAGAACGGCGGCAAGTGTTTCAACGCGGTGAACAACTTCACATGCGACTGCCAGAACACCGGATACACCGGTGGCAATTGCACCGAGGACATAGACGAATGCGAAAATTCGGAGACAAATTGTGGACACGGCAGGTGTACAAAATCTGCCTGGTAGTTACGAGTGCGTTTGCGATTTTGGCTATTGCGGCTACAATTGCACCATGTTGGATCCTTGCCAGGAGGTAAGTCCTCTATAAATTAATAAATAGAAAGGAATTTAGAAGGATTGTGATGTAAAACTGAGTAAAATATTTAGAGAATAGAATATTTGTAGGAATTAAAAAATTAAAAATTAAAGAATTACATTAAACGAGATTGATTAGAATTGAGCGAATGAAATTGGAAAAATTCTTTGAGTTTAGTAAAATAATGATAATGAAATTAAGACGAACATAATATCGTGAGATATTGTGTTTATTTTTACGATGATCTTGTTTTGTCTTTATTAGAATTATTGTCAGAACGGTGGCACCTGCAGGTGTGCCAAAGGTGGCGGATACGAATGTGAACGCACTTCTGATTACACGGGACTAAATTGTACTGAGGTAAGGTGAAATTCTTTAAATTAGAGATTCCATAAGAAATGACCAATTAGCTCATATACACAATATATCTCTGATAACTTAATAGGAATACTTAAAATGTTTTCAGTATACCATTGTTTTGAATTTATGTCAGAATTAAGCAAAATTTATAACCGGTAAATTTTTGCAGTTGATGTTTATTGCATTTATTACAGTTAATTACGCTCTTGCGCTTTATGTTTCTATTACTCGACAGTTTTACTTTCTCATAAATAAAATTAATTAAAACTAACAATTGATAAATAATTATTTTTATACTAATGAGTTTAATCAATATTTTCTAGCGGGAGCACTTATTTAGTAGCCAAGCCATCGACATAGCAGTGATCGTAGGTCCAATTGTGGGCTGTTTTTTCCTCATCATCATTAGCTTTCTTATAGCGCTCTTCATGATGGCAAGAAAGAAACGCGCTACACGCGGCACGTATAGTCCGAGTGCTCAGGAATTCAGTAATCCGCGAGTGGAAATGGATAATGTGATGAAACCTCCTCCGGAGGAAAGATTGATCTAATCGATTGGTGATTGGTGAGGTGTAATCTATATTAAAAAGAATGCGGATGAGCCTTGATATGTGGAAACTATTTTACAGAGGCATGCGCAGATTTTTCGTAAATTGTACAATTTTGCTTAGTTGTCTGCAGTTAAATCAAACTGATGCGAGTAAGCGAGACTTTTGATTGAGAAATAAAATTAGACAAAATTACATTTCTCTGAAATTAAATTTATTATCGTTGTATAAATTAGAATCAATATTGTATTTTTTATCACATTTTTTATTCATCTTAATAATTTATTTATCAAGAATTGTGACATCGACATTAATTCTTAATTAATAGTTAATTTTTTAATTTTGATCTAATTTAGATGGATTTGGTTTGTCGTTGCAAAAATGAAATGTTTCCATATATCGAGAGAAATTTGCACAACTTGGAGTCCCGAAACTCGAATCGTCATTGCAAAGTATGTCGACTGAAAAACTGCAGTTTGTTTAATGAAGAGCCAAGTCGACGACAATGAAGCGATTATTCATTTTGCGTCTTCTAGTCCTCGCTGTTTTGCCGTTACGAAAGAATAGATGAATTAGAAGGAGTTTACTTTAAACGAATTAAATTTCCAACTCTTCTAAGAGAGATGTAATCGAAAATTTTTGTAAAATCCTTTTAATTCGTCAATTGCCTGCAAGATTATTGTATAAGAAAAAATTTTAAGATTAGCACTGAATTGAATAATACAACTTTTTTTTGGCAACGGTACATTTCTCGATGGCATGACATTTGCCGATGAATGACAATTAAGATTTGATAACGGACGCTAGGCGTCATGTTTGAACGAAATAAAGTCAACATGTTGTTTCGAGAGTGAATGATGTACACAGTATCTTGGCAAAAGATACGTTACAGAAAGATATTTCCTGAGTAACTGACGTTGTGAAAAAGGGGAAATTTAATATCTTGAATGAAGAATTCGAGGGACCAATGATGATATCTTGAGAATTCGTGAATTTAGGAAGGAATCTTTAGGGAAGATAAATTTTGAAAGCTGAAAGATTGAAGACTTTAAATATCAAAATTTTGAAATCGACAGATTCGGGGGAGAAACAATTCGAGGATTCAATGATATTTGAATAAAAGTTTCATAGAGTAATAACGAAGAGGAGGACGATCTACATCTCTCTGGGACGGATAGCATATATATACATAAATAACACGCGTATAAAGTAGATCATGTAGATTGTAACAAAGTGTACTTAAAGTTCTCAGAAGTGTCCTTAAGACGTCAAGCAATACTCGAAGGAGGCAATTCCGAACAAACAAACCCGTCCATTTTAGTGCCTAATCTTTCTCTCTCTCTTTTTCTCTTATTTCTTTCTCTCCTCTTTCTTTCATACCATTGTTCTCTTTTTCTTGTTTTATTTACTTAAAAAGATATTATTTATAAGGCGCGATGCATGTAATATCGAAGATAGACGGCATTCCAGAAAGGCGTGCGGAAAACAAATACAAGATCTCCGATAATATTGCATAATGTTTTTACACTTTCAAATGATGGGCGAATTAAAGAACACTCATGAGAAATTTTTCTGCAGATTCAAACTCTTAATTCTTAAAATTTCCAGAAGTTTACTATAAAACTGCATTATTTTACCTTTTATTTTTTCATTATATTTTAATTGTAAATTGTTAATTAATGAAATTTTTATCCTTAATATCTATTTTTTTTACTATTTCCAATGTTTTTATTCTCTTGCGTGCTATTCTCTATTTTTCTTTGTCTGTGGTCTTGGATATATTTTATATTTTGAATGTAACTAAATTTTGCTTTTTCCTTTTAGTTTTAATTAATCTTACAATAACTTTTCTTTATTTCAGTTTCATTAATCTTTTTCTTAATTTTATTCTCCCCAATTTTTTGTTCCTTCTAATACTTTTCTTTTTTTTTACTTCTGTTAAATGTTTTACCTTTTTCTGGGTTATTTTACATGTATTCCTTTTTAATAGAATATTTTTGATTCGCCTATCTACGCGGGTATTATATAATATACATGAGTTTTTAAATATTGTCATACCGCGACACATACTCCGATTTGTTGCTAAGAAACGATGATACCGTCGAGCTTTTCCGACGCGGGCAAGAGAAAAGGCAATGCCGAGTGCGCGCGGAAAAGTTCGCGTTATTGTCACGCATGTTAATTTTGTACATAGACTAGCTCATAAGCTTAAAGTTATAATTACTTTATCGTATTTAGAATTTTATATGATTGTTAGGTATTTAACAATAACGAACGTATTAATCGGTACGTAATTATATTTACTACCACGACCAAAGTAGCGGCGAGACGATTTTACAGTGTAAGAGTTTGTTCTGTAAAAATCATCTCGTAAATTTTTAAGCTTCTGATTTTTCATTCAAAACGTTTCTTCAAGACTGAATCTTTGGCATAAAATAAAAAAATCGTAAAGACCAAATGCATTTGACAAGAGTGATTAGATTGTTCTTTGTCTTTCTTAATTTTTTTATTTTAAACGCATGTGAAAAAATACACAGATATTGCCTTAAAGATATATAATTCAAACAAATTAATATTCACCATTTTTTCTCGTTTCGGATCATTATCATGTAATTGTGTGAATATAATTTACTCCGCAATGAATTTGTTTGTATTTAATTTTGCAGCAAAAGAGTCAAAACTAATTGTACGAAATAAATTTGATCTTTACGAGACATAAGAGTGCGCAGTACAGCGTGTTGTATAAGTAGGCGTAGTAAATTCAAGTGGATAATTAAATGTACAAAATCAATAAAACGCATACATAGTTTAAAAAACAACTATGTATTTTTTTTTTCTTTTCGTTTTTAATTATTTTTTTATTATTTCGATAAAATACAGTGAGTTAAAATGATACATAAAGAATGGCATAAATAGTTAAACTTGAAAGAATTAGATACAGTGCAGTGTGAATCTACTTGACAAGGAACATCTCAATTCGGGATTATTACTACTTTATGTTTTACCAAAACTAGAAATTTCTATTTTTTACTTTTTTATTTTTCTCTGTACATATATCCAATATTAATAATGAAATGACAAAATTATGTTTGCACGCGATACGTTAAGTATTAACGCATGTTTTAGCTGATCCGAAGAATATTTGTTTCATTATGTTACGAGTGTTTAACTATATAAATTAATAAAGCTCAAAATTGAAGGTATCGAGATTGAAAACATCATGATTTCATATGAAATTCAAATTGAACGTCTTCACAATACGACGGCCACAATATTACATATAAATTCCCCTGCGCATCGAGTGCTAGATCCACAATAATGGATCTCGCACGGACATGCGCCAATCAGCCGTTTTACCATAGCGAAAAGTGAATCTGGCCATGTAGTTCCGCCGGCTCAAAAAATGGATCCAGTTAGCGCTA